TATATATATACTGTATTATTGTCAGTCCTGTGGGTCTTCAATGGTAGCAAAAATAAATGTTCTGTCTCTTATAAAAACTGGTTAACAGTTTTTTTCCTGGTGCTGGGTATTGAAATCAGGGCCTCACACAAGAGCAAGAGCTCTACCTCTGAATCACACCCTAACCCCTGCTAGAAAACATTTTTGAGCATCTACTGTATATCAGAAGCTTCCATTCATTTTATCTAATTCTCAGAACAACATCCATTATGTCAACCAGTTCTAGTTTAAATTCATGACCACAGAGCTCTAGAGGTCTCTCAATGCTGCCAAGCAACCCTGCTACACTTCTCCAGTATGCTCTCTCCCCCATTTGCCAAAACAACTGTTTCACACATTCTCTGCTCTCTGAAACTCTCCCACATCCTCTCCCGCTTCTGCAGTCCCGCCCACCTCTTCCCAGATCCCTCTCTGCCTCCCTCCGCTCTAGAGAGCCTTTCTGTTCACACACAGCTCTGCTCTGCCTTAAGGCCCTTGAAATTCCCTCCCCTCTAATTGGAAGGCTCCACACCCTGATATTCACAGGGCTAGTTCCTTCTTGTCTTCCTTGTCTCCCAGCTCAGCCCAAATGTTAAATTCTCAGGGAGACTTTCTTTGTGACCTACACATGCCCCCACCCAGACTCCTTATCGCGTCAACTTATATTATTGTCTTCCAGGTATTGGTCAATATTTGGTCATGTCTTGCCAACTCATTTCTCCCCCTTCTCCGTGTGAAGTCTCCATGACTGTGGGGCCTTACAGACCTATTTACTTTTGCATTCTCAACAGCCAAATTGGAGCCTGTCACATTATGAGCACTCAAAAAGGATTTTTAAAAAATGGGGTCTTGCTATGTTGCTCAGGTTCACCTGGAATCCTCAACTAAAATTACCTTCCTGATTTAGCTTCCTGAGTAGCTGAGACTAGAGGTGTGTGCCCTTGGGCCTAGCTAAAAATGAATATATACTGAATAAATTATACCACCTTTTGGCAGATGAGAACACGGAAGATTAGAGAATATAAATAAATTGCTCAAGTTCACTCAGCTGGTAAATGACAATGTGGGTAAACCCAAGTCTATTTTAGTCCAGGCCAAATCCTCCTTCATGTAGAAACCCTGTGCTAGGGCGAGTGTTTTAAAAGTGTCCGTGTTCGGGCTCTGAGGAGCATTTGTGAATGTGGAGAGCATCTGAGACAGCACCAGAATGAATAGTCAAATTCTGCCGGCAGAACACCAAGGAGATGGGAGGACATCTGCGTGGACAAAGCTCGCGGTAACTAAGGAGCAGCCTGGCCTGCCTGTTCCCAGTTGCTCCTGGATGCCTTCCAATTCCTCTGCCTTCCTTCCTGCTTCCTGCAGGCTCTGAGCCTTTGACCACCTGCGGTTCAGTCCAGTTTCAGCCAGGGCTCTGCTTTCCCCTGCACTCCCATAAGGTGGCCTCTTTCATGCCTGTCAATAGCATTTAACAAAAACACATCTGTTCCAAGGTGCTGTTCTGGCCACTGCAGACACAACAATGCACGTGGCATGCACAGTTCCTGCCCCCAGCCTTGCAGTCCTGCTGTCCTTTCTGGTCTTCAAGATTTGGTTCTTAGCTCAAAGGTACTAAATTAATCTGTTTAATGCAATTAGATCAAGTATTTCAAGGTTGTAGGAATAGTGGGCATAGTACCTGTCCCTGGAGGAAAAGTTTCACAATATCCCTGTCCTATCCTTTCCTTTCCTCTAGGCTCCTGCAGGCTTTGTCCCCAAGTAAGGTAAATCTTGTGCATTCAGTAGGGGAATGAGAACAGCTAGGTATTTGTTAAGTTCTACCACAGGGGAGAAGAGTTGAGAAGATCTAGTTTTGCCCTCTTTTCTGGTATAATAAGGAGATACAACAGTGAACATTTATGGAGGTGCATTTTGCATGCACTGCTTCATTCAGGCCCTACAATACCCCTGGCAGAAGAAACAGAGGTTCAGAGGTAGAATGTATGCAGGGAGGGGAATTTCAGCTCAGGTAGTAGGATTCTACAATCTCTTGGTTTGCACACATGGGCCGGAAGTGTGGACTCTTCCACACCCGCCTCCCTGCCGGGGCCTCTCCAGTGGCAGGTGTGTTTAAGATGGCAAACTGATTGAGGCTGAAGCCTACAGCTGGGGCAGAGGCGTGCTCTGGCATATTTATATAACACTGTTTATTTTATTTTGTGTTACCTATTTCCTCCTGGAATTGATGTTAGTTCTCAGTGAGGCTACAGGAAGTTTCTAGAGGAAATTGCTTCAGTATTTTCATTAGACAGAGGTGGGGGAAGGGAGAGAGAACAAGAAAGACAACAGATGGTCTCCAGTCTGAGATTATGATTTTTCCAACTTTTCTTCTAGCTTCATGTGGTTAAAATGTCCTTCCTTTACTTAAAATTTAGAGTAGTAAATGGCAGTTAATTTTTTTGGTTTGTTTTTGTTTTTAGTATTGGGGATTGAACTGAGGGGCATTCTATCGCTGAGCTACATTCTCAGATCTGATTTTATTTTGTTTGAGTCAGGATCTCACCAAGTTCCCCAGGAGGAACTTAAACTTGTGATTCTTCTGTCTTAGCCTCCTCAGCCTCCCAAGAGCATCTTTTTTTTTTCCCTTAGGCAGAGTATTGCTACATAATTCAGATTGGCCTTGAACTCACTATGTAGCCCAAATTCAACTCAAACTTTTTTTTTGTTTGTTTTTTTTGGTTTTTTGGTTTTTTTCTCCGGTACCGGGAACCGAACTCACGACCTTGCACTTGCCAGGCAGGTGCTTTTGCCGCTGAGCTAAATCCCCAGCCCCTTCAACTCAAACTTGTAATGGTCCTCCTAGTGTGCATTTTCCCATGGGAAAAATAATAATAATTTAATAAAGCTTAGATTTCCTCCTATTTGGCAGTAGAGCAAATCCAGAAAGAGGGAGAAATAAACCACTCTCTTTAAAGCTATTAATGAGTGCTTGGTAATAGTCATAATTAATATAATTTTTTATAAAAGAATGTCTTTTTTCATAACCTCCAGCCTCCTGAATGCTGGGATTACAGATGTGCACCACCACACCAGGCTCCTAACTGCATCTTACAAGCATGTATCATAGCAATCCAGTGCAAGTTGAGTTTTTAAAAATGTGTTTGCTATAATAATAAAAATTTGAGAATTTAAAATTCATTCTCATCATTGAATTTTTTTTTTTAAGTTCAATCATGATACACAAATGTTTGCAAAACTCTGTGCCAGGTATTATTCTTCAAGCTAAAAATACAATGGTGAGTAATATAGGATTCTAATTCTGAATGTTGGCAATGGTCTTGAATCCAAAGGGACTCAGCCTGCAAAATAGATGCTGTTTCACCTTGGCTGTGAACACAGAAATAGTCATCTACAGGAACTACGTTGCCACGAAGTTGGCTCCAAGAGGGGCAAGTTCTCAAGAAACGTTAGTAACACTAAGACCTTTCTAGGTTTATGGATCAGAAATAGGATAACAATTACCAGAGCCAGAAGGAGGGGAAAATGGGGAATTGTCCAGTGGATATAGAATTTCAGTTTTGCAACATGGAAAACTTCTGGAAATCTATTGCACAACAACATGAATATAACTAACACTAGTGAAAAGTGCACTTAAAGTGATTAAGATGGTAAATTTTATGTTATGCTTTTTTTGTTTTGTTTGTTTGTTTACTTATTTTTTGAGACAGGGTCTTGCTATGTAGTTCAGACTGGTCCTGAACTCACTGTGTAGCCCATGATGGTCTTGAACTCGAAGTGATCTTCCTGCCTCAGCCTCTGAGATTACTGCAGTGCGCCATCACTAGGCTGGCCTCAAACTCATGGTGAATCTCCTGCCTCCTAAATGCTGAGATTCCAGGTGTGTGCCACCATGCTCAGCCCAGGTATATATTTTAACACCAAAATTTTTGGTAAAGACAGATGGCCAGTGCAATGGTACATGCCTGTGATCCAAGCTACTTGGGAACTGAGGCAAGAGGATTTCTTGAGCCCAGAAGTTCAAAATAAAGCCAGAGAAAATCACTCATGGGCCAGGTATGGTGGCGCACGCCTGTAATCCTAGCACTCAGGAGGCTGAGGCAGGAGGATCGTTGTGAGTTCGAGACCAGCCTGGGCTATAAAGTGAGCTCAAGGCCAGCCTGACCTGCACAGCGAGACCCTGTCTCAAAAAAAGACAAAAAAAAAAACAACAACAAAAAAACCAAAAAATCACTCATGGTTTATGTAGCCAAAGGGAACTGTATAACTCGAAACAGGGATAGAACTTTAGATTGGATTAGAATTCTATCAAGTCAACATGTGGAGCATCTATAATTGAAAGGAACAAAAAGTCTATTGATGAGAAAGCTCCAGGATTATGTGAAGTGGTGTTTAAATATGCATGAGTCTACCCAATATTTAACAGATACCAGTGGCCACCTTGAAGGGACAATCCAAATCCAAATCCAGATGGGCTAGGTAGAGAGATGGTGGGTATCAGGCCAAAAGCTGTGATTGTGAAAATGTGAGGAATCTGGGCCAGCTTTGACTTCTCACTTTAGCAGACAATGTGAGCAAGGAGGTAAGGCTAGACAACATCTCTCCTCCTCCCTGAGACACAGCCCAAAGCCAAAAGACTCTGATTTCCTGGCCGGTTCAAAACTCCTGCAGGTATAGCAAAGTCTGGTACTGTTTTTCATGACAGTGACAAGTAGGATTTCCAATGAGAACTTCATGAGAAAGAGTTGATCCCACCTCTATAAATAGTGCTCTAGGAACATGTTTGCCAGTACTTGTCTCATGAACATCCTCCCTCCCAGCAGGCCTGGCACACGGCCATCACAGTGTGCATAGAGACCCAGGTCAGGCCGCTTCTGTAGACACTGCTTGTTTGGACACTGGCACGGGACATGTATGAAGTAAAGGCAGCAAACTCAGGTGCCCAGGCTGTGCTATACCCTTCCACAAAAACCAAGACAGAACTAGTTTTTAAAAGAATCATAGATGAATTATATAAACATCATTTATTATATAAAACTTCATCTTTCCATGGATGATGTCACCTTTATCAGACAGAACTGTTTCTAAATTATCTAGAATATTCTCTTTGCTAACCTGTAACCTCAGTCAGTTTTACTTTTTTTCATTAGTCAGTTTTTTTGTTTTTTGTTTTTTTTTTTGGTCTTTTTGAGACAGGGTCTCACTATGCAGTTCAGGCTGGCCTTGAGCTCACTTTGTAGCCTAAACTGGTCTCAAACTCACAATGATCCTCCCGCCTCAGCCTCCCGAGTTCTGGGATTACAGGCATGCCCCTCCATGCCCAGTTTCCTCAGTCAGTTTTATAGTCATTTTCCAAATTTTTATTATTTATTTGGGGGGCTGGCAGTACTGGGCATTGAACCTGGCACCTTCATGGTAAGCTACACAGTCTTTGCACTTTTTCTTTTTTTCTTTGTTTTTTTGAGACAGGGTCTCTCTATGCAATTCATGCTGGCCTTGAGCTCACTTTGTGGCCCAGGCTGATCTCAAACTCGCAAAGATCCTCCTGGCTCAGCCTCCCGAGTGCTGGGATTACAGGCATGCGCCACCACGCCCAGCACGTACTTTTTAATTTTAAAATTGTTTTTGGTTTTTTGAGACAGAGCCTCACTGTTGGCCTTAAAGTTTAAGGCAGGTTGGCCTTAAACTCACTATGTACCCCAGGCTGGCCTTGAACTCATGGCAATCCTCCTGCCTCAGTAGATTACAAGTATACACCACCATGCCCAGCTAGATTATTGGTATTTTAAAGTATGGTTTAGTGCCAGGCATGGTGCTGCACACCTGTAATTCTGGCACTTTGGAGACTGAGGCAGGAGAATCACAAGTTCAAGGCCAGCCTAGATGGAAATCAAGGCCCTATCTCAAACAAAACAAAACAAAAAACTGGTAGGGCAAATCTCTAATATTCCTTTTCCTTTTTTTCAAAACTGTATTGATTAATTTGAACTTATCATTTAAGATGAACTTTAAAATCATTTTGTAAAAGAAAAAAGAAAAGAAAAGAAACTGGGCGTGGTGGCGCATGCCTGTCATCCCAGCACTTGGGAGGCTGAGGCAGGAGGATCTTAGCAAGTTCGAGACCAGCCTGGGCTACAAAGTGAGCTCAGGGCCTGCCTTAACTGCATAGTGAGACCCTGTCTCAAAAAGACAAAAAAGAAAAAAAAAAAAAAAGTAAAATCAATTTGTCAAAATACACCCAAATAACTCTCACTAAGGTTCTAATTCTATTCTAATTCTATTTTATTCTATAGAATTAAAAGGGAAAATCAAAGTCTGTACCCATTAAACAATAACTTTCTCTTTTCCCCTTCCCGGGTACCAGGTAACTTTTTTTTTTTTTGGTACTAGGCATTGAACCCAAGACATTTACACCAAACTGTATCTGCAGACACACACCTCCCTTTTAAATTTTATTTTGCGACATAGCCTTGCTAAATTGCTAAATTGTCTGGGCTGGCCTAAAACTTGTGATTTGCCTTCCTCCAACTTCCAGTACCCTGGAGTTACATGCATGCACAACCCCACCTCATAAATGTCCATTTTTACCAAAGTATTTTATTTTTATTTTTTTATTTTTTCCAGTACCAGGAATCAAACTCATGACCTTGCGCTTGCCAGGCAAGTGCTTTGCCACTGAGCTAAATCCCCAGCCCTTTATCAAAGTATTTTAAATAAGGATTTTTAGATGAATCCTTATATTAATCAAAAAAAATCACATTTTAATTTGGATGTCACTGATACTCATAAAGTAGATATTTTTATATGTATATTACCTAATTAAATTTCCTGTTTTGTGAATTACCTGTTCATGTTTGCACATTTTTCCTTTTGGGGGGCCACTGTTACTTTAGCAGGAGCATGCTAGTGTGCATTTTCCCATGGGAAAAATAATAATCATTTAATTTAATAAAGCTTAGATTTCCTCCTATTTGGCAGTAGAGCAAATCCAGAAAGAGAGAGAAATAAACCACTCTCTTTAAAAAAAAAACTATTAATGAGTGCTTGGTAATAGTCATAATTAATATAATTTTTTATAAAAGAATGTCTTTTTTCATAACCCCCAACTCCCAGTGCCATTACTCTGAGATAATTACTTTTCATAGCTTCTTGTGTATCCTTCTAGAAATTTGATTTATTTTACAGTATTGGGGCCTCACACACGCTAGGCAAGCATTTGATCACTAGGCTACATTCCAAGCCCTTTTTTGTTTTTTAGTTTTGAGACAAGTTCTCACTAAGTTGCCCAGGCTGGCTTCAAAATTGTAGCCATCCTGCTTCAGCTGTCACCAGTTGGGAGCATCTGCGTCAGCATCGCAGCTGAAGAGGACAGCATGGAGGAAGTTAGTGCCGCCAGGCCGCACCTGTGGAAGAAGGGCAGGAAGCAGGATGGGGAGAGAAAGAGGTTGGGCTCTGATGCAGTTCCAGCACACATTTCAGTCAATTCTGTGTGAGGTTCTCAAGCTCTGCTGCCACTTCCAAGTTGTCCTGAGTTGGGGGAGGTGGGTCGGCCCTTAGCCTTGGACACTGACCAGTCACCGGATGGCAGGTGCCCAGAGAAGTGATCTTGGGCCAAATGCCTCCCTTCTAAGGAGAATTCTTAGAGAGAACTCCCAGTAGCTGGGGCCTAAGACCTTCAGCCCATTGCTGGACGTGGTGGCGCATGCCTGTAATCCCAGAACTCGTGAGTCTGAGGCAGGAGGATCATTGCGAGTTCGAGACCATCTCAGGCTACCAAGTGCGCTCAAGGCCAGCCTGAACTGCATAGTGAGACCCTGTCTCAAAAAGACAAAAAAAAAAAAAAAAAAAAAAGGCAGGGGGGTCAGTTTAGTCTCCTCGGCACCATTTAGTTGGGTAGACTGGGGTGCAGCTCTTCCACAATTCCTTTGGGCCTCTTTTTCTGAGGAAAGTTTACGAGGACAGGAAAGTGGGATGAAACACAGCTTCTCATGTCTTCATTCTACACTACTGGGATCCCTCGCACTCTCAGTGCCTCTGCTGGCCTACATGGCTTACTTGGTGTTATGGCCCAGACTTTCATTCTGGAAGGTTCTGGACCCTTGGTGGCAATCTTGTTTTTAGGCTATGGCTGAGGTACTTATCCACTTACTAGCAAAACTGGGTAATGGAATAAGAAGGGACACCTATGTGGAGTGCTTGGGTGCAAAAAGGGCTTATTGTATAACAGAATCCCAATTTCCTCTTGATCAGGATCAATAACTCCTGCCAGAATGGTGACTTCCCCTGACATAGACAGTCTAAAGTGCTCAGGTGATAACTACAGTTTCAAATTCAATAGGACTCCTCCTGGACCTCTTGGTGCAAGCTGCCCCCTTTGGAAATCAGGATCTCTAAGTGCACAGATATAGTGGGATGTACAAGGCATGACCATTCCTACCTCCACCTACTTCATTTCCAGATGCATATATTCTACCTATGGGGACCACACGCCAAACACTGGTCACTGATTTAGAAAGCAGAAGTGTGTTCTTGATGGTGGTATCTCATCCTCACGGGGAATGACTTTGAGCTCCGGCCTCAATGTGCCTTTGTGTACCCCTCATTGTTCAGTCAGACCAGC